AATCACATCAATTCAAACTCCCAAAATGCTAACTCTCTCTCTCTCTCTCTCTCTCTATTTCGCTCCCACCCTCTTCCTGCACACCAATAACAATTCGAGTGACGAGAATGTAATTTGACATCTTATTGTTTTGCGCTAATCCAATGGCGTGAATGTATGCAACATATAAATTGAAATTAATGATGTTTTGCCAGCGTTATACACATTGCTGGGTATATATATTTTAAAATTTAGTTAACATTTTTTAACTGGGCCAACATTTAAATGCAATTTTGCATTTCAATAACTAATCGAGTTTAGTTGTTGGCAAAAACGACAAACAAAACTAATTTGATGTATACTGTCATAATTAACCTTTCAACATTTTTGACATAACACATATGCACCTAATTTTCCGTCAATTCGCTGCGCATTTATTAGAAAGAAGTCACTGAATAAATACCATTGAAAGCAAATGATGTCAATTTAAGAGAGAAACATTTTGGGATAAACGAGATTTATTGCTGGAAACCACAAATGTTTTTTTTTTTTTCTACAAATCGATGAATATTCTCTCAATCGAATGTGGCCGTTATCAAAAAGTAATATCCATCCATGGACATCCAAAACCAAAATGTTTGCATCTCTTTTAGACTGCAATTTTCATATGTTTCACATTTCAAAGAAATGTTTACGAATGAGCAAACAAAGTAAAGTATTTAATTTGCAAAAGGTGTGTGTGAGTCTGTCTCTTGTGTTCTGGAAAACAAATACATTATTAAAAATGCATCACTTGGATGACCAAAGACATTTTTGCCCAGCACATTTATTCGAAAATCTTTGTAAATGAATGAACACACTACACATACTTTGTAGTAAATTTATGAAAACGACGACGGTGACGATGAGCGTGCGGTTTAAAAGGTTTACCCACAACACTCCCTGCATGGTTTAACAACGATGGATATCATTAAATATGAATGAATATATAGAGAAAAAGATGATAAAATAATTGCTGTTGTCGTAGAAACTTTTTTTCCGGTCACTTTGGAACTTCATTTTATCAAATGTAGTACATTCTTCGCAGAGATTTTCTACAGTTTTGCAAAATTATTCAGAAGAAGAAAAATTCAGTGGCAACATATTTCAACGTAATGGATACACTTGTACAGCAAGAAAAGAAGATTTTTTTTTTTGAAATAAAAGATAATTGAGTCTATAGAGTGTATACATACACTTCCTTTGGTGGCTCAATAAAAACTAATTACTTGCATAGCCGGCATAGTCAGTTTTTCATTTTATTACGAAATATTTTCTTGAATTTTCACTTAATTATCAATTATTATTCATTGTGTTGCAGTAAATGGACAGAGTGGAAGAGAGAGAGAGAGAGAGAGAGAGCGCGAGAATGAAAGGGAAAAGTGTAGAATGAGATCAAAATTAAGACTTTGTTGTTGTCATACAACAAGGGTGAAATTGGTGTTGTTGAATGACTATCACCTATAGATTTTAATGTTTGAATGTTGTATGCACTCGTTATGACTATCACTTATAGATAGAAGAAAATTTCTCTTGGCCACTGTTGGTAAATTGAGCAAAAAATGCAATATGTTTTTAATAGAAAATGTGAGCAAGAATGAGAGAGTTGGGCGTTTGCCGTTGTTTTTCGATTGAGAAAGTTGTTAATGAAATTATAATGTAATATTACGAACGATTCATCCGTGCATTTGAATTTCTCTCACATTGATAGAGAGCCACCATTCCTATAATGGACAAGCAAACCATAAATAAAACATGCCACAGTCACTAATAAACTGCTACGGAACGTTTGCTGCACACAAACACACTCGTTCAAACGGTCGACCGCTGAAAATTGAGGGGATGCAACCGTTTACAATATAATAAACAGCAAAACACTCACTCGTCGTCATTGTGTGGATGTAAAAGTGTGACGATTTCTTGTACCTTGTCGTCGTTCAACAGTTTATTTCTATTGTTATCATATTACCATCAGTTTTTTTTTCGGTTCACTCTCTGCTCTTTCTTGCTTTGGCTTTTTTATGTGTGTGTATGTGATTTTTCATGCGGAAGGAAATCTTTTTCGAATAAAAGCTGCATGTGCCACGCTCTTTTTTCCCACAATATAGACAACATACACACGCACCGAACAATACTCAGTCGAATTCTCAGTGCGATGATGTTGATTATTTATATGAAATTTACGCTTTTGACTTTATTAAAACGCCTTTGATACAACGCCGACAATAACAACAGCGTTCCAAATGACAACAACTAATTGGAAAACGTTTGCAAGAATGTTTTGACACGTATTGTATGAATGATTTGACGGCAAAGGGAAACGATACATAATAAATGGATATTCAATTTAATCAATATTTTGGAGATGACAACATCAGTAGATTGATATTGAAACGCGATACAAATATAACTTTTAACCACTCAATTAAATTCATCAAAACAGTGTGCACAGAGATACAAAGAACATTTTCTTCACGCCTCATTACGCGAACGACTTACTGCATTTGACAAATTTTCATTTTCTATGGATTTATAAAAGAAACCACAAAGCCAATAAACAATCGTTTTTTTTTAAACAAGTAAGCCTTTGTTTTACGTAATAAAATTCAATTTTTTTTAACACTTTTAAAATTTGTTTTTTTTTTTCGAATATTTTAATGATTGGAAACAATTTCTGTTTTTTTTTTTAATTGAAGAACTTTAGTCACGTAATTTGACTCACGTTTCTGCCGTCGGCAATGTTGAATAATATCAAAACAATTCTAATCCATATTCTAGATTATTTGAAGCATTTGCATCATTTTATTATAAAAATCGTAAATATGACATTATCCATAAAAAAAGAAGTTTATCGTATCGAGATGCCTCATCCAGATCTCGAGAATACGATATGAAGAAATCGTATTTGAGACACTTTTTGATTTGGGTACATCTGCCGAAAATGTCGGGAGATTTCTCGATTAACGAATTTAGAGCACTTTTAAAATCCAGAAAAAATGTGTAGCGGGGATGTATTGGCACGAGAAAACCGAATATGATGTTTTCCAATGCAAATAATTTTTGATACACTTTTACAACAAACATCTGAAAAATCAGAGATTCACTCAGCGCTGCTGCCATCCAGAGCATAAAAATATATCTTGCTGAGAAAAATATATGCTTCCTGAGAATGGGATATTTCGATTGTGTGAGGACAACAATTTTTCATCACAACGTGGAACCTCAAATATCTAAACTACCAAAATAGAACTCTCATACAAAATTTTCGATTGAGCCAAAAATCGAAAATGTACTCGCCTATTTTTAACTGAAATTTCTTAAAACTTGTTCAGATCATGTATTTTGGTAAGAAAACATAAGGAAAGAACCAATAATTCAAAGTACATGATAAGTCTTATCAGATAAGATTTTGATATGAATATGAATCCCATTTGTTTACCAGTTGGGTCAACTTCAGAAAAGCGAAGTAGATTGACATCTGGATCATTTTTATCACAGTGAGCCAGCATATAGAGAATCTTTTTAGCCAAAATCTCTCCACATTGCAGTAATCAACTTTTGTCCGAGTGGGATCAAAAAGTTTTTGACAAAAACCCCAAACCAAAATTAGAATAAACTTTTGGAAAATTATTTCGATTTGCTATTGAGCACATTTTTTGAGTATTGGCAGCTGAACGAACCGATCTGGATGTTGGAGTTACCATTGAAAAGAAGATCTTCGGGAAGGTCGGGAGATTGTTTAAAGCATCATGGCTGGCCAACAGCCTGCCAGTTTAACACAGATTTTTAAGTAAATTTTAGCCTATTTTTGACTGATAAGCACGGTTATTGATATCGGACATCATGGTACAGCATTCTGTAACACAATTTAACAAGGTTATTTTGGACATTATGGACAATAATATTGACGACCATGTTCAATCGAAAAGTAATCTATTTGTTCTTAAATAGTTATTTGCTAGTTTGGCAAATTTCTTTTTTAGTTTAGCGAAGTAACGTAATGCAAACCAAATTGTAAATATTTGATAAAGAGGTGAATAAAATTGTTCAAAAAATTGTGACAGAAATTCGTATGTTTTTTTCTTGTTAAATAAAACGAAAACATTATATTTTCAATTTAATGTGTGGAAATCTAATTTAATCTTAAATTAAACGATGTAATTTATGCGACAAAATGTTTTTTTTTTGTCAAACGGGGTAATGCAAATAATAACTGTAATCCAATATAATGTCATAACGGTAATTCATTGAAATAAATTTGATTAAATTTCAAATTTTATGACGTGAAAAGAGTGAGGACTTTTTGAAATGAAATATTTATCCAAATTGCATTTGTAGTGAAAGAAATAAATGAAATCATCATATCAAATGAAATATTATCATTGAGGCTGATTAAATAAAATAATTGGAATATTCATTTGCATCATTTCAATGTATTTAATTAAAAAAATTCAATGTAAAACGAAGATATAATTTTTACTGTTATATTTCGAATTATATTCGATTTGAAATAATGAATTGTACAATAGATTATGTGTGAGAAAATAAATAATCAATATGTTTTGAATAAACTTGTAAACTATTCGAATGTTAATGATATTTTCTTTTCAGATAGTCGAATTTAAATAATGAATGAGTTTTTTTTGTGATTAAGTATGCGTTAAGTACATCTAAAACTAAATTAGTTCCTATTGTAAAAACGAGTTTGAAAGAGTGAAACATTTGATTTTGATTTTTTCTCTGAATATTTTTCGAAAATCCATTGAGAAATTGATGATTTTTCATTTATCAATATAAATGTCAGTAGAATCAAAACAATAAATACGTTCATGATGCATTCGATGGTGTGATTTGTCCAAGTGTACTTAATGTGTTGAGTACAAAGACATTTTAGTTCTAGAAATCTATTTTGCCAATGTATTAGTGTGTCGGCTGTCATCTTGAAATGTTTGTACTTTGACGTGTCTCTATCGCATTTGACACAAAAGCTACACACAACTCATTTGATATACGTTTATGTGTTTGCTACAAAAGATTCGTATCTAATGAAAATTTGTGTGTGAGCCGGCCGAGAATGTATGGCGACGTGTCATTTCAATTTTAGAAAAATTAAATTGTTGAGAAAAAAACACACATAATTGCTGTGAAAAAATTGAACGAAACAAAATAAAATTAAAATTCGTTGTTTTTTATTCGACGTTCATTTTGTAAAAGAACGAACACAGCAGACTGAATTCAAGAACAACTTGTACTTCAATGAATTCAGCTTAGTAAATATACCGAGATATTTAGGAGGCATAAAAAGTGTGTGTTGTTTTATTTACTCTCTCGAATGTGCGTTGTTGATTTATCGATTTACATTTTTTTCCGTAAAAATTTCAGATATTTTGTACACGGACAATGAAGACGTCGAAAAGTATAGTAATCAATCGGAAGGCAGCCGGCTGGAGTAGCTTAATTACTTTTGCTGTGTTGATGCTAGCATGGATATCAGGTTTTGCATCACGTTTATTTGCTGTCATTCGATTCGAGAGTATTATTCATGAATTCGATCCATGGTAAGTACATTTAAATGATTGGGTTATCAGATTCATTATCATCGTCGCCATTTGTCGTCGGTGGCACGTTTTCAAATGACAAAAAAAAATCATCCAAATGAAATATGTGTTCTGTCGAATAGGTTTAACTATCGTGCAACAGCGTATATGGTTGAGCGTGGATTTTACCAATTTTTGAATTGGTTTGATGAACGAGCATGGTATCCACTTGGACGTATTGTTGGTGGCACCGTTTATCCTGGCTTGATGATTACATCTGGTGGCATTCATTGGCTGTTACATACATTGAACATTCCCGTACACATTCGTGATATTTGCGTATTTCTTGCGCCAATATTTAGGTATGATATTGTTTTCTTTTCAATAACATTGATCGCATGCGATTCGTGTTCAATAGTTTGCTACGATAAGTTACATTTGGTCACCATCATTAGCTAATTATTGTTTTTTTTTATTCTTTGTCTTTTTGTTCGGCTGATGTTCCAGTGGGTTGACTGCAATTTCAACATATTTATTGACAAAAGAACTTTGGTCACCGGGTGCTGGTCTATTTGCAGCTAGTTTTATTGCAATTGTACCTGGTTACATAAGCCGATCAGTGGCTGGTTCATATGACAATGAAGGCATTGCTATTTTTGCGCTTCAATTCACCTACTATTTGTGGGTGAAATCGGTAAAAACGGGCTCCGTATTCTGGGCAGCAATGGCTGCACTCTCCTATTTCTACATGGTTTCAGCATGGGGCGGATACGTTTTTATTATCAATTTAATTCCATTGCATGTATTTGTATTGTTGCTCATGGGACGTTATTCACCACGTTTATTCACCAGCTATACAACATTTTACATTTTGGGCTTATTATTTTCAATGCAAATTCCATTCGTTGGTTTCCAACCGATTCGAACAAGTGAACACATGGCCGCATCGGGTGTATTTGCATTGATTATGGCCGTTGCATTGTTAAAACATTTACAAACCATTCTGTCGAAGCAAGAGTTTAAAAAATTATTCATCATTGGTGCATTGGTAGCAGCCGCTCTTGTTTTTGGCGTTGTCGTTATACTGACTCTGTGTGGCGTAAGTTGACTTGAAATTGAAGAGAAAAAAAAAAACGAAACGAAACCATATTTCCATGAATTTATTAAACATTTTTCAATTTGTACGATATTTTAGGTCGTTGCTCCATGGAGCGGTAGATTCTATTCGCTTTGGGATACAGGCTATGCCAAAATCCATATTCCAATTATTGCATCGGTGTCAGAACATCAACCGACCACATGGTTTTCGTTCTTTTTCGATTTGCATATTTTGGTGTGCACATTCCCCGTTGGCATTTGGTATACCATCAAACGCATCAACGACGAACGTGTTTTTGTCATTTTGTATGCCATCAGCGCGGTCTATTTTGCCGGTGTTATGGTTCGTTTGATGCTTACACTTACACCGGTTGTTTGCATTTTGAGCGGCATCGCATTCTCTGGCCTACTCGATGTTTTCTTGCGCGAAGACAATTTACCGGAAAAATCACAAAAAGAAGATGTTGATGAACAACCAACAGAGAAAAAACAATTATACGATCGGGTAAGTTCAATGAACTTTTAAGAAATTTATAAATGACGGCTGAATAAACACTTGAAACACTTACAGGCTGGAAAATTGAAACATCGTCCAAAACACGAAACGGCACATGACTCAAATGGCGGCATTGGATCAAATTTAAAGAGTATTGTTGTTGTCGCCATTTTAATGCTCTTGATGATGTTCGCTGTACATTGTACATGGGTTACAAGCAACGCATACTCTAGTCCATCGATTGTGCTGGCATTCTACAATGGCAATGATGGGTAAGCATTTTTTCCACTTCATCCAGTGATTTTTGAGCGGCAAGTGCAAGAGTCATAAGATTTGACAGTTGATCATATTTTCTTATTATTGTATTGCATATGCCGCATAAAAATGATATTCCAAAAACTTGTTGGCAAAAAGTAAATATATATTTAATTTCGCAATTAATAATTTACAGAACACGTAACATTTTGGACGATTTCCGTGAGGCATATTATTGGTTATCACAAAATACGGCCGATGATGCACGTGTAATGTCATGGTGGGATTATGGTTACCAGATAGCGGGAATGGCGAATCGAACGACGCTGGTCGATAATAATACGTGGAATAATAGTCACATTGCATTGGTGGGCAAGGCGATGTCATCACCCGAAGATAAGGCCTATGAAATAATGACGTCACTCGATGTTGACTATGTGCTTGTGATTTTTGGTGGTGTTATCGGTTACTCTGGTGATGATATAAATAAATTCTTGTGGATGGTTCGTATTGCTGAAGGTGAACATCCAAAAGATATTCGAGAAAGTGATTTCTTCACCGAACGCGGTGAATTCCGTATCGATTCCGAAGGTGCACCAGCATTATTAAACTGTTTAATGTACAAATTGAGCTACTATCAATTCGGTGATTTAAAATTGGATTATCGTGGCCCATCCGGATATGATCGTACCCGTAACGCAGTCATTGGCAATAAAAACTTTGATCTTACTTATTTGGAAGAGGCATACACCTCAGAGCATTGGCTAGTCCGAATTTATCGAGTTAAAAAACCACATGAATTTAATCGACCAAATATCAAACCAAACGACCGCGTTGTACCATCTGGTGACTACGTATCGAAAAAGGTAAAGACAACGTCCTATTCACACCTGAAACGCAATTCATTTCGAAAACATTTTTTGATCTAACGTTTTATTAACCGATTGAATTATTTTCTTGACTATCTATTGCAGACTGTTAAACGACGAAAGGGTATCATTGATCGACCAACTGTCGTCAAAGGGAAGCGACCTGTGAAATAAACACTTACCATCCCGAGAAAAATAAGATCAACATATTAAACACAATTTTTTATTTAGAATTTTTCAATAATTTATGATTGCATAAATGTTTAACGATAGATGGTTTGATGAGATTGACAAATAGTTAAAAAAAAAACAATCAGAGAGTGATCACATTTTCTTTTCGACTAGCAGAAAGATGAATCATAAATTTTTACAATTTATTCATTTGTAATTTCGAGTTCAAAGCATTTTCTTTTTTCAAGATAGCTTCATTTTTGGCATATGTGTTTAAGATTGTTTAACAAATTTCAAAATAAAACACATTCATTCACATAATAGCTTGTTTTAGACATTGATTTTCCAATTTATATCGAAAACAGAATATTAGTTTCTATTCTTAGAAGGCCTCTAACCAACTCTTGTAGATATCACGTTAGAAAAGCTTGAAATAAAATAGCTCTTCGATTTTTTACGTCATGCCAATTAATTCGATTGTACCAATTCGGCAAAGGAGTTATATGGATTGAATCAAATCTATAAATAGGACCCAACTACAAAAGAACGCCAGAAAAGTCTTTGAATCTTTCCAGTGATGGTTTTTTCCTTTCTGAATAGCGCTAGCTATTCGCAGCTTCTGTACAGCATTGCTGCCCAGATGCTGAATCGAAGCGGTTGCCGCACGCGTTTTGTACCACACAACATATTGTCATATAGTCTAAGTAACCAGTGAGCTCACAGAGTATGATACACTAATACCATAGTCAGTATACAAACGCATGTCGAACAGAGAACGAACGCGAACGTATATGCTCTGTGTGGTACAAACGAAGTGTGTTGCGCGTGCGGCAACCGCTACGATTCAGCATCTGGGCAGCAATGCTGTACAGGCGCTGCGAATAGCTAGTGCTATTCAGATAGAAAAAAACCATCACTGAATCTTTCCTTCATTTCAAAGAGCATTTACGAATATTTTATCAATACGAAAAGAAGTACCTGTTAAATTTAAAATGCACAATTTTTTTTTATCAAAGCGCCAACGGGGGTTGCTTAAAACCAGAATTTTAATTAAAAATAACGTAAGTGTTGAAATTTGAACCACGTTACCCTGCGCAGGGCCTGCAGCATATCGCTGATATCGAAGTCTTTGCAACTCTGCAGTGTGTCGCAGAATTTATACGCATAGTCTAAATTCCTATTACAATTTCATCAACTTAAGAGAAATCAAAAAGAAAGGAGAATTATTTCGACATATTGTCCCGATCAGTTGTTACAAATTGAAAGAAGCTGGTTTGTACATTTTCCGAATCCATTAATTCTAAAAGTTGATCAAAATTATAAGAAGTCCGAAGTGATGTGGTTCAACTGACAATAACGGTTCCCACGGTAAATGTCATATAAAATGTAAACAACCAAAAAAGACCAACGCCATACATGCAACACAAAATTGGCGCACATTTTAAACATTGATAACCAGAGGTGTATACAATATTTGTGTGGAATTTTCTTGATTGTCTCAACATTTTTTTGTGATAAACCGAGCTCTCCTAAGCATAGTCATGTCTCCGGCCAACACGGAAAGTTAAGTTTTACTATAGTAGCCATAGCTTTTATTTAAATGATTTGATGCGAAAAAATGTAGCAAGAAAAAAAAAGTAGTACTAGATTTATGAGAGTAGATTCAAGTGATAAATTTGTTTTAAAAAAACTTCTATGTGAGAAATGTCTGTTAACAATTGAATTGTGCGCGATGACATTCAATCGAAGGTGGCCACTTTTTAAAATGTCAAAATACGAGCGATTACGAATATAATGGCGACAGCCGATTGGATAGAAAGAGAAGCGCGCTTTTTTTTATGCTGGCAACACTGAGTAATTTTATTGTGATTGAATGTCATATAGAGTGAACACATTGTGCGAACTGTATTCCACATCGTGAAGTTACATCGATTCAATCGTGTGGTGTGCTTTATTTTTGGACGGTTTTTTGCGTTTAGTTTTTCTGTAAATACATTTTCATTTCTCTTTTCACCGATACAATTTGTTCTTTCGATTTCCCTCCCGAACATTTTCAATTTCCCACTTTCATGGTCAATTGCATTCGAGTGTAAATTTTGAACGGAAGAGTTTTCGCGACCGAAAAAAATATATATTCGTTTCGATACAAAGTGAAAGAAGAAAATAACAACACACATAAAATCAACTGATGGGAATCATCATGTCATCAAAGAACGCTCAAGAGAATGGAAATGGTATTAACGCCAAACGAAGCAAACTCTACAATTCCAAAGTGACCGTTGTCCTAGGTGAGTTAACAAAATTAACCCAAAAATTATACCGGCCGATTGAAATTGGGCCAGTTGTGTCAACCAAACTTTTCCACGATTTTCGAGTTTATTTTGAATAAATAAATAAAGTGTCTATTGTTATAGTCGTTGTCGCCCAGTCGACTCTTATCTGATCTAAATGTTCAATGAGATGGCCTCTGTTATCAGTTCATCAAAATGCCAAATATATATTATGATGGTATATAAAAGGGTTTATAATGTTTGTTTCGTTTCAGGCGCACAGTGGGGTGATGAAGGAAAGGGAAAGGTTGTCGATATGTTGGCAACCGAGTCGGACGTCGTCTGTCGGTGTCAAGTGGGTTTTCTTTTCATTTTTTTTTAATTATTTTAGACATCTGGATGTTTTGTACAATTTTTTATTCAACTCAATCACGACCAATTATTCTTTTTCTTTACCTTCAAATCTATTGAAACCCCCACCGTCGAAAATTTCCATTTAAAATTAAAAAAGAAAAAGTAAAATGCAAAACAATAAAAAAACACACACATTTTACGAGTGTTTTGAAAAGAATTCAACCTATCAGTGTTCGCGCGGTTACGAAGTCACAACAAAAACATCGGTCACATGTTTCACATTCGTCGTATTTCAATTGTTTTTTTTTCTGCGTCTCAATAAGAAATATTGATATCACGAATGCGCTCGCTTGTAATAAAAGCCTCTCTCATTAGTCATTTGTGAATGACGACAAAAAAATGATACGAGATATTGTTATAAATTTGATATTTAATACGGTCACACGTATTTGTTTATTTAGTACTTTGAACGCTGAGCTAAGTTACAAAGTTGGCTCTGTACGTCTCAGATCCTCTCTCTCTCCTTGCCTCTTTCGGCTGAAAATTACGTCATATCTGTATGTATTCGTGCATAACATCGATAATTAGATATTTTTATTTACTTTTTTTTTAAATTGAACTCGCGATAAACAATTTCAAGTTTGAATGATTGCACCGTTCCAAATTTACTTTGCAATTCTTAAAATATGCTTGAATCCTTTTTGCATATGTTTGTCATTGAACGACTTTTCTTTTATTTGTGACTTTCAAAATCATGCACAATATAAAAAGTCACAAAAAAAAAAACTTTTTATTCATCTAACTTTTCTTGTTGTTTTGTCTTTCGTTCTGCTTTATTGATGACAAAAAAGTGAATTTGTTTACACTTGTTCGTACGTTCGCATCGGTAAATCAGTGGAAATAAATAACAACTTAGCATTGAAAGTTTTGTTGTTGTTGTTTATTGTCGTTGTTGGACGAAAGAATTTTATCTTTATATTTGAACGTGAGCAAGAATTTTTTTCTTTTGCTTCTCTCTATTGAGTTTCTTTTTTTGATATTTTTTCAAGAGCACACTCCGTAAGTCACATGAAATAAAATGAAAATTATTTTGAGTGGTTTTGTATACATTGTATATGTTTATTTTTTAACTTAGAGTTGCGACCGTGCATTTTACGAAAATTATATAAGAATTTCTGTCTGTTGTGACGATTGTGACGTTAAATGTGACTTTTAAGTTTTATTGATTCATTAGGCGCGCACAACAAAATGAGATGATCCAAGTAAATTGGCAAAATTCCAAAAAAAGAACGAAAAGCGGCAAACTTTGGCGATCATTTTTTCTCTCTCTCTCTCTCCGCTCTATCTATCTCTCTCTTGCTCCCTCTCGTTCGTGTCATGAGCTTATCAAAATTAAAATTTGCAATAGTTCTGCTTGGATTAGCCGATGAAAAAAAAAGTTAATTGGCATTTTCATTTCACATTGAAACGAACTCAAGTGTTTCGTACGTAAATGTCTAGATTTGTTCTACACAAGCTGCGTCATGGTAAACACCACAAGGTATTTATATATACTTTCATAACCACGTGAGTGACATCTAATCAGAGCTTTTTGATTATCACTTTTGCTGTAGTTGTGTTTCTCTCCCATTCGCGCTCTCGTTCTTTTTTTGGCTTACACACACTCACTCCCTTTTCTTCTTTTCGCTTCGCCTCTTTTATGATATTTCTTCCTTTTTTCGCTATGAGAACCATTTGATTTGTGTTTTTTCCACAAGCAAGGAATGCGCAATTTAAACTCGGCTGCACAAAAAAAAGAAGAAAAAAAACAGAACCTAAGAAAACTCGTCGTTCAAGTTTATTAGGTCTCGGATTCGCCTTGTTGTGTATAAGGCAAAGTCAATGCGGCATCTTGAGTTAATGAAACGTTGTTGGATAACGGCCAATCGTATTATTATTATTTTTTTCCTCATTCATTTACGTAATGAACGCCTTCAAGTAAAATGAATCGCAAGGTGTTTAAGACAACAAAACATATTCAAAGAACAATGCAAAAATACATAAAGAAAAAAGAATGACTTTTAAAATAGAAGACGAGTGTGATTATCAATAAGATTGTGTCGTAATCGAGTCCAAAACGAACCGAATATTCGAATTCATCATTTTTATCTATAGAGTATAGACTAATATTTAGAATATGATGTAAACATGATTAAGATTATATTTTATTAGATGTATATCTTTTAATAGGGTGGCAACAATGCTGGGCATACAGTCGTTGTTGATGGCACTGAATTCGATTTTCATTTGCTTCCAAGTGGCATCATCAATGAGAAATGCGTTTCAGTAATTGGTAAGATAATGAATGGATAACATTTTGTTTTCAAATCCTAAAAATCGAACAATTCAAAGCAATAACATAATTTCGTCATTCGATATAAAATAGGAAACGGTGTTGTCATACATTTGCCGGGATTGTTTGAAGAATTGGCCAAAAATGAGAGCAAAGGTTTGCACAACTGGGAAAAGCGATTGATTGTTTCAGATCGTGCACATTTGGTGTTCGATTTTCATCAACAAGTCGACGGTTTTCAAGAAGCCGAAAAAGCAAACACCGGCAAATCGTTGGGAACCACAAAGAAAGGTATTGGCCCAACATATGCCAGTAAAGCCAATCGTACTGGTATTCGAGTCGGCGATTTGCTCGGTGACTTCAATGTATTTGCTGAAAAGTGAGTTGCATTTTTTTATATGTGTTCCATTTATCCATTTTTCACAAATCTATGTTACCTTTTAAAATATCTTACCTAGACTCCGATCCATAGTATTATCGTATCAGCGTATCTATCCAGATTTCAATGTTGATGTCGAAGCTGAACTCGAGAAGTACAAAGTATATGCCGAAAAATTGCGACCGTTGGTTGATGACACAATTTCATATTTACACAATGCATTGAAAGAAGGTCGTTCAATACTTGTTGAAGGTGCAAATGCAGCTATGTTGGACATTGATTTTGGTAAGATATTCATTATCAACACTAATTCCATGTTCCATTTTAAATCCAATCAACTTATCTTGTGATTATTTTTTACATTCGTTTTCTTTTCGCTTCATTTGAAACAAACAAACAAAAAAACATGGAAAAATTACAGGAACTTATCCATATGTGACAAGTAGTAATTGCAGTATTGGTGGTGTCCTAACTGGTTTAGGTTTACCACCACAAACAATTGGCGATGTGATTGGTGTTGTAAAGGCCTATACAACTCGTGTCGGTGATGGTCCATTTCCCACAGAACAATTAAACGAAATTGGTGACCTATTGCAAACGCGTGGCGGTGAAATCGGTGTAACAACAAAACGAAAACGACGATGTGGATGGTTAGATTTGGTGTTATTGAAATATACCTCAATTATAAATGGATACACAGCAATTTGCTTAACAAAATTAGATATACTGGATACGTTTAAAGAAGTTAAAATTGGTGTTGCCTATAAACAAAATGGCAAATCATTGGATCATTTTCCCGGTTCGATCAGTGATTTGGGCCAAGTTGAAGTGGACTTTATAACATTGCCCGGTTGGGAACAATCAACAGAAGGTGTTCGTGATTTTAATGAGCTGCCGAAAAATGCCCAAGACTATGTACGATACATTGAAAACTATTTGGATGTTCCAGTGAAATGGGTTGGCGTTGGCAAGGGCCGTGAATCAATTATCAATGTCACATAAATCAATCACCACTGCCACCGCCTATTGTCAAAAACAATGCGCGCGTGTCCTCTCCTAATAATGTCATGTACAAAACAAAAAAAAAAAAAAAACAAATTAACAACTATTGCTATCCTTTTCTTTTTTTTCTTTCATCCTTTTGTTTTGCAAATAAAATGCAAAAAAAACAACACCTCTTCAATTCCTGCGGCATTCACGATCATCACAACTTTTTTTTAGAATACTCACTATTTCGGAGACTATATGATAATACCAGAAATAAATATTCAATATTTTCAAGAATAAAAAAATTGTACCTGAGACGGAAAAGAGAATCATCTCTGTGCAAAACGATTTTCCTTTTTCATCTCAAAGCTTTGTGAGCATTTTTTTAATCACCCATCTATTTTTCTGTTTCCTTTTGAGATACACACAGTTTCAATTGTTTATTAGATTCTTTTTTGTACACAGATTTTGCATCGATTGTGATTTTCGCATGATTTCGTCTTGGTGCTATATTATATAACTATTACTATAAATCGAAAACTAATTCGATTTTTTTAAATTACAAAACAAATTTGTTATAACCACTTAAGCGAACACATTCAACTAAAAAAAATAATTATTATTATAATAAAAAAAAAAACAATTTGGTTTTTGTTCATTTTACAGAGACCATTTGGAATTGAAAATATGCAAATTCTTTTCATTTTTGCTTGTCATTTCTCTTTCAGTGGATTTTATTCACACCCGACATTGTAGAACTTTTTTTGCGGCTTTCAGTTTGGCTATTATATTAATTATATACGGAAATTATCGGTTTTTTTTATATATTTTTTTAATTTCGATGCATTTTGTTTCTCAGCAACAAGGTAAATTTGATTCATTGAATAGTATTTTCTACTATTTTATTTCATTATTTACAGAGTGTGTAATAGGTGTCTATATTTTACGTCGGTTTCATTCTATCAACATTTTATCTAAAATTCGACATTTTCGGCACCTGAATCGGTTGCATCACATTCAACATAGTTATTTCCCAGTAATGTTGTCGCATCTTCATCCATCAATTGAATGGGGTAGCTAATTCCATCGCCCAAGCTAATATATGATAAATCACACAGATCGCCGAAAAAGAAAAAAAGAAAAGAGAATTCAATGGCATCAATAAACGCTGTGTCAAATTCAAAAGCGAAATGAAATAAAATGATGTTTTTGTAATACAAAAAAAAAAACTTGATTTATTCGCATTTTTGTTTGTGTGTGCATTTGTCTGAATCTATTACACGTTTTATAAGAATAATAAGCAATTTGTTTAATTTCGCTCCTTTATAAATGTGGTGAATCTCTACGAATAAATTAAAATAATAATAATAATAATAAAAAAAACAGAATTTTTCGCATTTTTGCGAAACTATAAAAAAAATAAAATAAAAAGAAAGTACGTTTCTAGCATGTGTATGTAGGTGGACATGTAAAAACGTAACATCTATCATATCATATGTGCAATGACAAATTGCGTGATGTGAACAGTTTATTTTTCTATTTCTTTATGGCTTAGCTACCATCAACTAATCATAGCATTTGCATTTTTTTATATTCTCTTTCAATTTCGATGTCTAATTCTAGCTTTATTTATATGATAATAAAAAGAAGAATTTAAAAATAATGAGAAAAAATATCTCTGCTTTGTTCCATGGCAAAAGTCAATCACGTGAGCCGTGAATGTGTGTATGTGTGATATTGAAAATGTTCGATTATAAATATGGAGGAAATCATCTGAATTGTGTGGATAATGTGCAAACTATTGTATAAAATTCGACTATTTGACTACTAACTATTTTTTTTCTAAATGAAAATTCACTTGCACGTCATATGCGACACTTTTAAGTTATCATGCATTATCTATTTTGATCAAAAATGAAAATTAAAAACAAAAATTCGCTTCATTGTAATGAAATAGGAAAAAATTGTTCCATATTGCATTAGCTGGACACTTAGTCTTATCATCAAAATGGATTCTGGTTTACGTTTTTGTTTTTTCAACTCAACTAGAGTCGCTCTAGTTTGTACAAAAAAAGCTATATTTATAATGGATCGGATTTGCATCCCATTTACTCTTTAAGTCAATGCCGTTACAAAAAAAACTGATTGTAATTGTATACGAGACAAAAAAATATTTTGGATTTAGTCTTTTTTCCGGACTGATGAAACCTGATTTTGAATAATTCGACTAAAATATATCGGTATAAAATCTATTCATTTACAATATTAAAAAAGACACACACACACAATGATGGTGTGAAAAGTGTGCATTCGATGAGAATGAGGAAAAGCGGGTGCTGATTGATTTGCGATTTAATTTGGAAGAGATAGAGAGAAAGAGAGAGAGACAGAATGTCCGCAGAATGTGTGTATGTAAAGAGGCCAACATATTCTGTTTGTTCTTTGCATGATTGATAGTCGCGCGGCATAGAATTCTAAAATTTATGTTTACATGGTGGTGTTTGGTTTTGTTCTAAAATCGATTCTTTTCGAATGTTAACCGTCATTGTTTGCTCGCCTCATTCACAATTGTAAGTTCATCATTAGCTGCATTGACGACGGCAATGGTGGCGGTGGCCGGCAATTGACCATCAATATAATTATTGTTGACACCACAATCGTTTTTGGCAGTTGTTGTTGATAGTGTTGACATTGGTGTCATCGTCGTCGTCGTCGTCGTCGTCATTGTTGCTACTGTTGATTCTATGTTCGCATCAGCATGAGCGGCATTTTGATTTGGTAGTAAATTTTTTCTTAAGTCATTCGTATCATGCGTTCGATTCTCTTCGAATTTATTTAATGAATATGAATTTCCCATTGACTCATAATTCGATGTGTGGCCAATATTTCCAGGGAAATGCTTTATTTGCACTGGATACTGTACTCCATCGCCAAAACTATAATATCACACAGTATTTCATCAGTTCAGTTCATTAAAATTAATTTTGTGTTGTTTTTGTTTTTGTTTATTGTTGGTTGAGGGGTTGAAAATCAAATGTTTTTTTTTAGTTATTATCTATGGTACAACGTCATTCATTTTATAATTATTTTTTTAATGACTCATATAGATTGAAGACGGTTAATATGTTTATTGCTTCTTTGTAATTTTTCATTCAGCGACACACATTTAAAATTTAAAAAAAGCTTCTCTTATCAGATTATATTTACCAAGATACGGTTCAAACACGTATTTACTCTGGGAAAATAAACACAAAAAGGCAAACAATTGAAACGAATATGTGTGAATCATCGAAATTGAATGAGGGCATTTCAGTCACGCGTGTCGTCCATCGTTTTTATAATGTATTGATGCTTCTTTTTTTTAATAATTTGAATGACATGATGGCGCGCACGCTATATTTTCAGGGTAATATGATTGCATAACCATTTTTTTATCTTGTATGATTTCAAGCCGTTTTAGTGTTTTAATAAAATGGCATGCTTCACAAATCTTCTTCATGCATTTCGTTAGATACTACAAACTATTATAACACATACTCATCAAGCACAATGTTTTATTACATTTTTTTTTAATCTACAGAACTTTATTTCAATGTTCAATTATGCCATTTTATATAATTATACACAATGAACCGAGCCAACCCAAAGTTCTACAGATCAATGTATTTAGTAAATCTTTTTTTTATTCAAAGATTTGGAACATCAAAATGGGTTTAACTTACCTCGTAAACATTGGTAACAACCATAATCGCCTGTCATCACCAAACACTTCTTGTATGTTATTGTATCGTCCCAAGTTGAAACCGTTTTTATCTGCACCTCCGATTCGGAATATTGGCGTTCGAAATGCCTCTATTTGAATATTGTGTTGCAGTTTTCAATTTAAATGATTCGTTTTAAAGGTTAACAAAGAATAAAAAGAAGAAGATAGAGAAAATTTCACATTTGCAATAGAAAAAAATAAATAAAATCAATGAATGCTATGAGACCATGCAGAATTCGTGAATAATTGAATATGTTGCAGTTGGTTTCTTTTTTTCGCTTCGGTTAACCATACCTAATGTTGTTCTATTCAGTGCAACTAAATAAATGTGATATCCAAATAGGCTAACTAAACTGATGGCGAACATAGCGGCCACAAAAAACAAAAATAGAATATGAAAACGTCCAGCTCCAATCTCCAATTGACCCTGCAAGAAATGGTGCAGAAAGCGAAACAAACATTCGAAGTTTGAATTGAAATCATTTAATTTAATTTTTTTTTGAAAATGTGACAGCAGAGAAGAGGGAAAATAAACCAGACACTCACCTCCCAAAATGCGATGAAATATCTGAGTACAGTTAGGGCAATATATATGCAGTACAACAGACCATATCCAAGAAACAAAACAAAGTATTTGTAATTCGTGAAATTGACACAATTGTTAACCTGTTTGATAATTGAAGCAGATTTTATTAAATTTTTCTATAGTTATACAACTATATAGACATACCCACGGACAGTGATGATCCATTTTGAGTACACATGTTCCGCATACACTGCAGTGATGTGCTCTATCCGGTTTCACCACTTGACATTTGTCACAGTATCTCAACGATCCATTTATTGTACTTTAATGAAGAAAAAAAATTGGAAATGCGTCAAAACAATCGATGATTATTGCACTAAACTGAAATATTGTCTTCAGAGCATGAAATTGTCGCCAGATCTGTTGTTGGCACCGGGGTACGACCCGCACTTATTCCTTATCAGTTTTTAAGTACTGAACCTGAATATAAGAAGGAGCAGCACACACGATTGAAATACCCGCACCTCCGAGGTGTTGGTTTAATTATCACCCACGAAAAGCGCGCTTACTGGAAGCCGCTCCCATACATGAATGTGTTAGTGCGCTGTATAACAATGCGAACTCAGGAGCGGCTCCTGACAAAATACTCTACGCTCTTCTAAGGCGCTTGATAAGCAGACGCGATACTTCACACAAGTGCAATTTCATGCTCTGACTGTCTTTGTATCCGAAGCATACCGATTACTGATGGGTAAATCCTTGGCAAAAATCTCTAAAATTCGTTTTGGTTCAGTGGGGTTATCAGGATGCATTATGCGTTCCATTTCGGCAGCAGGTATACGGAACTAAACAAAGATTTTTCGATATTTTATGTATTTTTGGCGATCAAACGAAATTCGTTCAACATACCTTTGCCGGCACACGGCCAATTGTTGTAAACACTGTTTGCCAATATGACCATACAAACATTATAAAAACTACATGATAAAATAGTAAAAAAAGTACACGCTCTGTCATCGACTGCACCGAAACTGAAAACAAAAAGTATGCATATATGACATCATTTGTGTTTTAAAGTTGAAACAAATTTGAATTGAAGTTTGCAAACTTACTAAAACACAATTGTATAACATAAGCATAGTATGACCATGCAATAACGGCTACAATAAATAACACTGGAATCCATTTAACGGCGCGAAAAAACCAAAAACATGGTCCACGTCTTGGAAGTTCGGCCGATGTGCGAAAGACATCATGATGCGATGACGCACTGCGCTTATTCATATAGTTATCTGCCATTTGAGTTGGGCGGGGAACTGTGAACCAAAATTTCTCTTTATATTTTAAATAAAAAAAAAAATATATGTTTTCTCTGTTTTGCTTGAAAATGGATCTTTGACTGGATCGTTGTGTTCGATGTAAGTTATTTTTTCTTTAAAATTATCAGTGAAATGTGAGGGGGGTTTGTTTTGTTGCTGCCGCCACTGTCACAGTAATTTGTTATTTTAATCAACTAAAACACTTTCAATTTAAATAACTCGTTTATTTGTTGTACGACATTTGGAATTGTTTTTTTTTTGTTTTATTTAATATTGTTTGTTGTTTTGTATCTATTTGGATCGTTTATTTTGAAGGGAATCCACCGATTCATTTGCTATTGAATGCGGCATGATTCCTTTATCTCTCAGTCTCAAACAGTTAAATGGTTTCCGAATTGTTCTATTCCCTTTTCTTTTCTTTTTTCGTTTTGTTTCTTTCCCACTCGTTATTCTTCTTCTTCTTCTTCGTCTTTGTATTATTATTTTTATAATAAAAATACAATATAACTTGTTTTGAAGCAAATATGAAAAATACAAATAAAAAAAGAAAAGGAAAAATAGATTAAAACTATTTTAGATGTATATACATATTGTGTTTGACATTCAGAAACGTCATCGAATACCATCATATCCATATCTATCTAAATTCAAATCAGATTTCGACAAATATAACACGAAGTTGGCCACAAAATATCATTTTAAAATGCATTCATCGATGCACGATATTCGAATGTTTAAATCGAAATTCGATAAACGAAAATAGCATTCAATTGCATCTAAATTTAGAAAAAAGTTCCGTGATCAATTCAAACCGTGATTTATTGATCGATTAGTCGTGGATTTATTCGGTTTCTGTAATTTGTTGCTGTTGTTGTTGTTGTTTTTTGCTTGAAATCAAATGTACGTACTAGATTTTCGATGCGAAAAAATTCTAATACCGAATATACTTAAGCAAACAACTGACAGCCTTACGCTCTTTGGTTGCATTCAAATGTATGCGTATATATGTGCGCGTTTCTCTATGTGTATATGTATGCGCCCGTCGTCGATTTTTACCTATAAGTCACACAATCTCGCACTTGCACGACATTTCCCACTGCCAATATATTAAATGGCAAGAAGTTGAAAAAAAACTTTTGAGGCTACACTGTCTGTGATAGTAGCCATTTTCGATTTTTTTTCCTCGCGCTCTCTCTCTTCATGTCAAATCCAAAGAAGAAAAAATAATTTTGATTGCGGTCGTATAGGCGGGTATATTGTGATGTTCGCGCTCTCATAAATGAACGACGAATTGAAAATTAAGAATTAAAAAAAAACGTGAAGAAAAGAGAACCACAAGAGAAAAAAAAAACAGAACGCAGAAGAAAAATCGCGGTGTGCTAAAGGTGAAATAAGAAAACGAAGAAAATTCTTTTCGAAATTTAATTCCAATTCGAATTGAAAATTCCTGTGCAAAGCCGAATTGCTCTCTCTATATATACATACGTACTACATAATATTTCTTGAACAATTTTTTTTTTCTTGTGTTGGGTGCTGAATTGAATGTGTGTGGAGAGGAAAGAATAAGCCTAATCAAGAGGCCTGGATATTGATTTTTTGTTCTATAAATTCAAATAAGATAAAAACAAAACGAAAGAAAAAAAAAGTGAATTAATTTTATTTGAAAATTATTAAAAAACGCAGTTTTTCATTTGAAAGAACTTCAATCAGAGCGAAAAACGAAGGACCAATACAAAAATCCACGAAAAATCAATCGTTGGACAAATAATTTTCACGAATTTTTTTTTATTTATTGTATACACAAATTGACGGCAAAATCATAAAAAAAAACTAATCATCAAATATCACGTATTACAGTGTGGACAGTAAAATTCATTCATTTTCTTGTGTCTAAATGAACGTTTCGGATATTTACAGAATCAATTTCAACACGTTTTAGAGAAAGAGAAGATTAAGAGTGTGAAATAGAGAGAGAAGAGAGAGTGTGGCGGCTGGTGGCTTTAACGGCAACAGTAGTTTAATTGCAAGCAAAACTAGTAAGTGGCTATTTAAAATTAAAAAAAAAAAAAACAAACACCAAAAAATATTATACTATTTAATTTTTTTCTGGAAAATTATGCATGTGTATGTATGTGTGTGTGTGCGTTTTCGGGTATTATTATATTATGTGATGTTGGTGCGTTTGTGAGTAGAGAGAAAAAGCGAATTTAAAATGGAGAATAGAAAAATGTAAAAATAATTTCCCGAATGATGAAAAAAGAAATCACTCGGGATATCATGTTTGTCAAATACGAATTATAAATATGTGTGTATGATTAGGAGGAGGGTGACTCACAAGCATTGACCTTAACAACCTGTGTGTGTGTGTGTATGCAAGACAAAAAAAGCGTAAAAAGAAAAGCAAATTTTCATTCTTTCAAACAAGATGTCTGATAAGCAGCAACAGTAGCAGCACCATAAAATGATAAGAGAGTGCTGCTGCCGCCGCTGTTGCTGCATTCGTCCAGTACTTTTCAATGTACGATGATGAGTTTTCCTGAACGGACACACACACACACACACTCTTCATGACGTAATAATATTCAATTGGTTGTTTTTCCATCTATCTCTTCTTTTTCATTTTCGAATCAGTTTTTTTTTCTGTTCGTACCCACGAGCAATGGAAAAGCTCACATACAGAAACGTTTTAAATGGAATTGATAGTTGATTGACTGATTTCGAAATCAAACAAATGATTTCTAAATAGAAACACATTTATGAGATAGAAATGCGAGAGAAAGAGCGATCATAAGAGGCAAAGTGAAAGAGATGTGCTCATATGTGTGTAGAGAAATATTGCGAAAGCTCATCGGTTTTCACCTCATGGTTCTCCGTTCTCATTACACCGTTGACATAATTCTTGAAATGTGCGCTGTACGCGCACAATTATTGAACATTGAATATTCAATAGAGACTACATTGACGACATACATACAATTTATGGTGTACGAAAACGATGAATAAGAAGTTGTTGAAATATGTGCATATCAGTATTGTCATAAATATGGAAAATATTGTTTGCTAAAGTTTTCGACACGCTGCAAAAAACTTAGACTCAATCACATGTGAAAATATATTGCATTCTAACCAAGATAATCAATATTACCGAAGTGCGACACACAAAAAAATAAGACTATGAACGAAACGAAAGAACAAAAAAAAAACGATTCCAATGTGCATGGATATTTAAATCATAGCGAGTCGAAATGAATTGTTTAGAGATGGCTTAAAACAAATGAAACAAAAAGAAAACTAATGTCAAGCTTAAACAAAACATGCCGCAATTAGCACGTCCATTTATATTGCGGCCGTTCGAATTCGATAGTTGTATCACCTTCGGGTATATCAGCTCTATCACATGGCATAATTCATTATATGTTTGTGAAGTAAAAGTCTAACAGCATGTACAATATTCGGCTGTAAACCAGCCACCCATTTGCTGTGCACTTGTTGTTGTTTTGTTGATTTTTTTTTTTTTCATCTATTTTCTATTATCTTTTGCTTCTTATTTACACCTTTTTATCTGTACGTGAATAATATTCCATTTAAATGGGTTGTTTATGTTGCTACTGTTGCCACTGATACAGTGCTACTCCTTTTATTCATCCGCTGTTACCGATTTAATGAATATGAGCGAAACAAAAACGTTGCGGCATTATTGCTTCAACGAGATGAATTGTTTTGTTTAGTTAGTTTGCCAAGTAATAAATCCCTCATACATATATACATATACATATGATAAAAATGACATATGTCAATCAATTTTCAGTTTTGTGAGAGCAACATAAAATTGAAAATACTCATTAGAAAACAGATACAACCATTGCCATCGAATGGCCCGAATGATGCCTACTCTGATCGCACAGATTCAAGAGAGAAACTCTCTCGGTCTCAACTCAAAATCAAAAGAAGAAGTAGAAAAAAAACATCATCATCATCATCATCGTCGACGACGTCGTACTTAAAGTAATGTTAAAAAAAAAAAACAAATACAAAAGTAGAAGTGGACCGGGGTCGAATCAACATTACGCACTTTTCCCATAGTAGAGCACATAAGAGCGCTCTCACAATTGTGTATTTATATGGTATTAGCACTACTCTCGTCGATTGTATGTACTTATTAGTTACAGAAAAAAACAACACACAACAATGTCTTTCTATATACAAATAAAATTTGATTCATACCACAACACATTATAAATGCTTTTACCTGTACGAGCTTATTTATGCCATCACTCTCGCTCTCTCCTTCTTTGTGCGTCTCACTCTTTCGTACGCTTTGTCTCTTTTTCAACTCTTTGTCTCTGTCACTCTAGTTCTTTTTCTTATGGAAAATCCAATAAAATTGGATGTCAAACCATTCACAAGATGATAAACTAACATGAAATTCATCTCTGTTGAACATACATATACAGAGTCCACTAACGACCGAAAACCATGGAGATATGGCAAATGCGATATAACAACAAGAGACAAAGCGGTAAAGGTAGAGAAAATTTCCAATAGGATTACATTTTTTTTTCGAAACTAAATGACAGGATATGTTTCTAATAGGTTTTTTTTTTAATTTAAATTTTTGCAATTTTCATAGAACATAATATTCCATGTAATTTTTAAAGTACCAAAAAAGTATGCCCTGCTGAGCGTTCAGTGATTTTATGCATTTAGCAATGAACCCACACACACATATATTTACCCACATGTGGGGTGAGTGCACATACCAAATGATCTTGCTGTTAACTTGACGCACTCGGAACGGCTCTTTTTTTAACAACTGGATTTATACTAATAATGACATAGTGCGCCAATGTGCGCCAATGTTATGTGTGGAGTCGTTTGTTGCTGCGTTTGTTTTTTTTTGCACGAAATATTGTGTAATATTTCATTGGGTGACTGAGAAAAAAAACAAATCGCACCATATTGAAAAAGAACATACACGTAATTGCCGCAATGTAATGCATTCTCAATTAGGCAGTGATTTTTTCTTGTTTGAGTTCGGTAAGTTCGCAAAAAAAAAAACTTATTTCTATCCAGTTGTTAAAAATCCAGTCACACATAACTTGCGAACAAACAATTTTGGATTCAAATATCCATGTCCGTGCTTTGAGTGTTTGTGTGGAAGAGAGAGCGTGTGTGTGTGCTTGTTATTTGATTTTTCTCGCTCTCTAACTATCAAGTATACACAGTACATGTTCAGGCATTCAAAAAGGTCAGACCGTTCGTTGTTCGAATATCGCACTCATGAATGAACCGAATTCAATCGAACAAATGGTGTGTATCGTTGTTCGTACGCTTTTTTTTTCTCTTCAAATATACAATTTATAATTATCTGCTATTAAATCTGAAGGTTGGACTTCATAAAATAATTCATTATTTTAGCTATAGCGAAAAAAGAAAAAGAAGAAGAAAAAACACACAATATAAAAACTCACATACTGAAAGTGTGTGTGCATAAGTGTGCGCGCTAAGAGACACTCGAAATCACGTGAGTTGAGAGATGATAATTTGTGTGTTACTTTGCGCAAATTCAATAAGTTTTTGTTATTTTTTTATTTTTGCTTCTTTCAAACGGTCGACAGAATCGCAACGTACACACGAGAGAGTATGAATAAAACATTGTTGTTTTGAAATTTGAAATTTTTTTGTGTGTGATTATATGCGCGTCGTCAACGACAAAATAAAATGACGTTCATTGTTTTATACGTGAAAAAAACACATGTATGTTTATAAAGCTTTTTGAGTCTTTGCTTGTTTTCGTCATTTTTTTTTTGTTGTTATATGCGCGAGCGCCTGCAAATGCGAATTAATGTGAATGACTCCAGCCCCCTGTTTTATTTGCATGTGAATACAAATCTAAACATTTCTTTTTCTACGTTCTTTAGTTGTATACAAAGAACAACAAATGTCGACAAGCATACAAGCTTTTTTTTTGTGTGTCTCGCTTTTTATCTTTTTTCCAGCCAAATAACGTATTTTCCATGTTCTTGTTTCGTGTGTTTTTTTTTACCTATTTTCTTTTTTCGTTGGTAATCTTTTTAGCATTCAACGGAGTACAAGCACAAATAGAACAGAGAGCACACAAAAACAATAAATTAAAAGCAACAAATCGTTTACAATGTCGAATCAACCAAAGCAACGTATTCAAGTTCCTGATAGTCTTCGAGATATTTTACTGGAATTTTCAATAGCCTATTTGCTTGAACAGCCCGGTGATGTTGTTGACTATGCCGTTGAATTCTTTACCAAGCTGCAAGAGAATAGAAAATCAAAAATTTCACACGATGACGTACCACCTTCACCGGATGAAAGTATAATGTCATTAGATGAGGGTAAGTTTAACCATATATATATATATTAATATTATTTTTTATGTAACTACGCACCAGCGTGCACCAGACCATAGTATATTTCAAATGGATATTGAGTTTGCACTCTGTGAAAACAAAATTAATTTTCCATTTGACAGATTGGTTATTTTTATCAAGAAATTTCAATCACGAAAACCGATTTCACTGTGTGAACAAACAAACAAAAATGGTATTATTATTATTATTTTTTCCCCTGTTTGTTTCGTAAAATGAACTGATAAATATTTTCCATTTTGCGTTCTTAGAACGAATTAAGAATTGGCTTGTTAAAACAGAACGAGCGGAAAAATGGCATTTAATTTTTATGAGCCGTTCATTTAAAGTTGCAATAAAAACGTGAATATGAATCGGGTTTGAAAGGCAAACATAAGATATGAACGAAATAGAGCCAAAATTGAATTGATTGTTTTGCATTTTGTCGTCGATAACAGTAACAATAATAAAAGCAAGAAAAAAAACCATTTTGAATAGATTTTACGTGTAAATCATAAATACACCCATTGTGCACATTTAAATATAATAAAGCGGTTTCGGGGCTGATTTCAATGGATTTTTGCAGTGATTTATCCAATTCATGTTTTGTTCATGTGTATCGAAATATATGATAATATTCAATGAGCTCGCTTTAAAATAGATCTATAAACGAGAACGAAAACAACAATAACAGCGACAACATCAGCAGTAACCAGCAATAGAATTGAAAAAAAAAAACGCAGTCTATATACAGTATGAGCTTGTGCTCACTTCTTAAATGGGGGACACAACCAAAGAAAACAACAACAAGAAAAAGAGTGTGTGTGTGAAAGAGAGAGAGAGAGAGAAAAAACAGAGAAAAATAGTAATAATAATAGATTTTCCATATAAGTACATGCACATAGAGTATGTCGCGAATAGTCATACTGTTTGACGTGAAATTGAGTTCAAACGCTATGCTATTCAATTCTTACTAAAAAAACACACACATTTTTTTTGTGTGTTCATTTTGAGATCGCGTGCGACAATGCACTTCATTTCATTTATACTATTCAAAAACCAAAAAGCGCTCACTCTCTCTATCCTTTTATGTAAATGCAAAGCTATAGTTAACTGGAAAAACATCACGAATGAAACGAAAGCCACAGAGAGAGAAAGAGAGAGAGAATGAGCGCAATAAGCATTTTAAGAGAGCTTCCAAAATAAAAAATAAAAAAGAAGAAGAATGACCGAACAAGTACGGCCATTAAAAATACATTTTTTTCATGAAAGTCGATTTAGAATAATTTGTTGCAGCGATATTTTTGGTTCAATTAATATCATCCGGTATCTTGAATGTGCCTTTAGTTTCCATTCTGTTTCTGTTTTTTTTTTGTATTTTATGTGCGTTAGCGTTCATCGAATGCGACACTTGCCTCTGCTATTCACATTCATTATTTGTGGTTTAACTCTCTGTAGTGCGCCATGTCGAATTGACCATGTGTATTTTTTTTCATATTCTTTCTTCTCAATTTTGTTTTGTAGGAGTGTAATATATATTATGTATATCTCTAAAATGGTGTGTTACTTTTTGAGTGTATTTTGTGGTCAATTCTAATGCATGAACGTCAGACGATTTCCCAACTGGGCCAATGAGACAGTGAGGATAAGAGAGCAAATTTCATAAAGTAGTTGTTGTCCGGCAAAATGTCAAATAAATCGATAATAAAAAAAGCACAAAATCCAATTTGATACGTTGTTAGGCTACTGGCGGCATAATACATTGAACCGCATCGTCGTTGTCGTCGTCGTCACCATTGTTGTTTTAATTCCACGATTACGCTAAGAGACGAATAAAAAAAAAACAACAACTTCCTTCTCACTCCGAAAGTATACGTTTCATGCTAATATTTAGATTACGTTGCACACATTACACATGCCATGATTTGCTATGTTCATTGAAAATATCCATCTCTCTTTCTTTCATTTAAATCTCTTCCATTCGGTCTATTGTGTGCACAATAGTTTGCAGTAAGCGCGCAAAAACCCACTGGCATATTCACTTTGCCAAGCCGGTTGGAAACTTTTCATTTTATACTTCATTAATTATATGCGTTTATAAATATGAATACATCTGTTTGTCCTTCCATATCTTTCACATTATTTTCCAACTCATTCGCCCTCTCTCTTTTTCGATATATTTCTATCACTTCAAATGTGTAAACTCTTTCTGTGTGCGCGTTTTTTTCTTCTTCTCGTGTTCTGTTAAGGCACGTTCGAGCCTTGAAAATGACTAGAAATTGTCTATCGAGGCTTTTTGCATTGATATTCGAGGGAGGAATATATATATTAATTTTCATTTCGGTATCCCACACTCTTGCTCTCTGGCTCTAATTCTCTCTCTCTCTTTATCTCTCTATTTCTTTTCGTATCTTGCTGTCTATGAGATTTGCAGACAAAAACTCATGCGATTTGAGTGCGCGCACGCCGTGAATGACGCAAACTAAGAACGTTCAAAAAGTGCTTAAGCCCAATTCAAATATTGGTTTTAACGTGCTTGAGCTTAGCTTTGTAACCGATTTTTATCGGCACACATCATTATCAAATAATAATTAGAGTTTTTGGTCGAAACATAGACATAATATTTTGTTGTTCATTGCTTCATTCGCTCTTCATTCGGTTACGTTGTCGCAAAAAAAAAAAAAAAACTTTACGCAATGATAACAAAAATATGTGGCATATGGGAATGCGTGCGTATGTGTGTTCTGTGTGAAATCTCTGATTTTGAAGGCGATAAATATTATGAATCGAAAACCACTTTCAGCACATTCGCACGCGTGCAACCCACCACCAATCTGTGGAAAATGCGCGCGCGTGTCCACCTAAGCAAAAAAAAACACACACCGAATGAATTTTCATCGGTAACAATTTTATTTTCTGCGGGAAAATTTATTTTTAAATGACATATAAAGAGAGAAGAGATAGTTAAATGAAATCACGCCCAACAACGTTTTCTTCTTTTATTTTTATAATATTCCGTATTTTATCAACGTGTTAAATTGTTTCATAGCAGCATCTCCTTCTCTTGTTTCAGTGATGTTGATATATAAATAATTTCTTTTGGTGCCTATGCTTCTGGTATGCTTCCACCATATATTGTGTGTCATGCCAAATGAATGTGGCATATATGAGATGATATAGTGCGTTTTTTCCACTGATACACTGTCCTACTCTCCTGTTTTCTCGTGTGCATGATACCAAAATGTCCCATCGCATCATATTCACTGAAACACACATAAATTGTGAAGCAGGCACTTTTTTCTGTTCATTGAATCTCAGAATTGCGATTATCAATACTATGCCATGTCAAGCTATCAATTTTTATCGTCAGGAACAGGATGCTGTTATTTACACATATCTAAATATTGTCTTGTTTTACATAGAAACAATGTGGCGTACATATATTGACAAGCAAGTGAAAATTCTCTCTCTCTCTCTCCACCCATCATTCTCTGTCTCCCTCTATTTTTCCGTGTTTCAGTTCCTGTTTCGCTATTGCACATTTAAATGAATGAACATAAGATGTGTTACAAAATTTAATCAAATAATTAAAAGTTGGGAACGAATGAAAGTAAAAAAAAGGAATTCACAATGCAATACCCATTGAATTCTGGATTTCTAAATGGTTTCGATGAAGCGCATAATACGCTCTTAATTGATCAAACCCGATCGAAGTCGCCGCAACAAACCACCATACAATTTCAGTGTATCGTTCTCTTTCACTTCCCTTGGCTGGCATGGCTGCATTGATATTACGTTGTAACCAAATCATCCAGTTCAAACGCAACCATTTAATGATGATGATGAAGAAGATGATAATAAGGGGTGAAAGATCCATGTACTTCAACTCGAATGGCCAATATTATTCGTTCATCAGTTTTTATTCGAACGTTGATTGATTCAGTTGCGTGGCACACAATATCATTAAAATGCTTTCAATTATTCTGGAATTTTAAAAATTTACAACATTTTCACACCGACTGTCATTCACTGAAGCCAACGACAACTAAAACAAATAAAAACGACTTCATTGTGTTTTAAATTTTGGATTTTGGTTTTGTGAATATTTTTTTTGGTGAATAATTGCAAAAGAACCAACCCAAAAAAACATGTGCCAAATGCAATAGAACTTGATTAAAAAGAAACAATTAGTTTACATTAAAAAAAAGAAGTATAAATTTGTGATAACAAATTTGTGATAATCGATTTCTGGATTAATTTCGTGTACAAAAAATGGTTTTACAAGAGCAAACGGCAAATATGCAAAACTATGATGTTCTTTCTGGTAAGATAAGAAATACACTTTTACTATTTTCTGTGTTTTCCATCGATACCAGGCTATCATATAAACTATATTGTTCCATTCAAATCGACCGAGATCGAGTGAAAGAAATCATTCACAATCCCATACAAATATTTTTGTTCAATAGACTGTTTCGCGTCTCAATTCAATTATTGTGCGTATATACTTACTATATTTAGCTAGTTTGTGTGACAGAAAAATTTGAGCGGATGGACTGCAAAGCTCTTTAATGTCTTCCAATAAATCTATGTGCGACGTGTGTGTGTTTTTTTTTAATTCAAAGTTATTTATTGATCAAATTGTATGTATTTGCAGAGCCTTTAGTAAATCGATTTGCAACTCGACGCAAATCCGTGTTCGCCGAAACCTATGACCCTGAGAACGATGCCGACGAAGACGAGGGAGCCGCTGCAATATTCCCAAAAAGTGATGAGCAAAGAGCACGTTTGATAGAATCTGTTAAAAACATCTTACTCTTTAGATCACTGGATAAAGAACAAGTAATTATTCAACATTTATTACCGTTTAGGCGTCGTCATTTTTTTTGGCAAATGATTTTTTCAATCGAATTCAAAATATCAATGAATTAGATTTGAAACAAAAGAATTTCGTGTAAAATGGAGAAAAAAAGAAAAAGTAACGATAATCATTCCGAACATGATTTCAATAAAAAAACAAAATGTGAGAAATTATTCACAAAACAATTGCCAAGTCAATATTTTCATAAAATATTATCATTTCATGCTTCAATTGATATGTGGAGCTTTTCCGTTAATTTCCATTTTTGTGAACAATAGACGTGAAATTTACGAAACTGGAGCGCAATTTTTTTTTATACTACATATGCCAAAAGAAACAATAATATATTTGAATTTCCAATCAAACGATGACGGTGACAGAAAAATGAATTCTGAGAAATACAAAAAAATGTCGTTTACTTTATCGATCACACATGTGTGCACGTATTACTGGCGAGATATGAGAATATAAGCATTTATTAATTAATTTCCGCTTGATATAGAAAATAAAATGTGATCAAATGGGAGAGCGAAAGGAAATTAATAAATTTGCCAATGTTTTGATGCAATTTAATTATAAAATGATTTTGCCTTTGACATCATAGATAGAAAGGAAGCGAGAAAGAATCAACGTTAATTGACTTTGTTTTGTTTGATGCAATTTCAGATGAACCAAGTTCTCGATGCCATGTTTGAGCGTAAAGTATCGGCTGGCGAAATTGTTATTCGACAGGGTGACGATGGAGACAATTTTTATGTTATTGAATCGTAAGTGTGATTTAAAGTTGAAGACGAAAACAATAACAATATAAAAAAGGTCATTTTCAAATCACGTACATTGTATGGTGTGTTTTTTTTTCCTTCTTCTTCTCTATTACGTCAATTACAGTGGTAAATACAAGGCACTTGTGGGTGATAAACATATTCACACATACAATAACAGTGGTAGTTTTGGCGAGCTTGCTTTATTGTATAATATGCCAAGGTAATTCGAATTTTTAACGGATCAATACACGCGCATGTCGATCGATTTCTGTGTTTTAAAAGCAATCTAATCGTGTATGTTGTTTTGTTTTTGTAATGTTTCATTGTAAATTACAGAGCAGCGACCATTGAAGCTGAGACAACCGGTCATTTATGGGCCATGGATCGACAAACATTTCGTCGAATCTTACTGAAATCAGCATTCAGAAAACGTAAAATGTATGAGAGCTTATTAGACAGTGTTCCAATGTTGAAAACACTTCAGGTACGTTAAATTGTCATGACATTCACATCAATCGCACTCATCTTTATTTAGCATATATTAATTGTTTTTGTATTCTATTGATAATAGAATACATCTGTTTAACACATTTTTTTTTGTTATTCATTCATTTTGTTCAAAATCTAATTGTTACTCATGTTCCTCTCACTTATTTTGTCGTTTAAACTACTTCCATTACAGAGCTATGAAAGAATGAATTTGGCTGATGCACTTGTACCAAAATCATTCAGCAAAGGTGATAGAATAATTAAACAAGGTAAATGATGTGACATTTTGATTACGATCGATTTTATTCGTCAGTGGTCATTTGATGTGAAGTTTGAGTGATTGAACTATGCTAATGCAAATGGGTTTTTTTTTCTCCATTTTCTGTGTCGATAAACAGGTGACGCAGCTGATGGTATGTATTTCATAGAAGATGGTACAGTTTCAATCCGCATCGAACAAGATGCTGGCGAAGTGGAAATCTCAACATTGGGCAAGGGTCAATATTTCGGTGAATTGGCATTAGTCACACATCGACCACGTGCTGCTTCTGCATATGCAGCATCCGATGTTAAAGCTGCATGTAAGTCTAAAAATCAATACCATCATCTTTGTTCACAATTATATAATACCATGTCATGATGTCATCCCAATGGCGATTCCATTTTGTTTATTATTAATGATGTTTCCACTTTGGCGCACTACATTTTCGAACCACATTGTGGCCAATAAAAAACGAAAATATATGCATCACTCTAAAACAAAATGTAATAAAACCATGACCACTTTTTTTTTCATTGAACTAAAGCCATTAACCCCAATAAAAAAGTGTTTGCGTCAAAAAAACACATATTGACTCATTCTACCATTTCATTCTTCTTCTTTCCCTTATTTCGAAACAATTAAAATTGAAACAAACCCCATTTCCGTTCCGACCATCAGTTTTGGATGTAGATGCATTTGAACGACTACTTGGCCCATGTATGGAATTAATGAAGCGTAGCATTGGCGACTACGAGACACAGCTCATCAAAATATTCGGCAGCAAAAACAACATCACAGACATCCGATAAATATTGATAAATTATTCAAACACATACACAAAGAAAAGTCCGATAATAATTTCTATTTATATACAATTACAAAAAAAAGTGAATAAAGAGAGATAAAAAAATCATAACTGAGCAAAGGGAAAAATTAACAAAAAAATATATTATGGAGAGTTACAAAAAAAAAAAAAAAAATTGGAAACTAGAACAAAAAAATGAAGCAAAAAATTTTACCAATCAAACACAAAACAAAATTGGTTGACACTTTTAATTTCGATTGATAAATAGTTAAAAATTATGATTATCAGTTTAAAGCAAGTAAAAAAGAAAGCAAAAAGCAACATATAGTTTATAACTTCTATTCAACAAGCAACAAACAAATTCATCAACAAAAAAATGCACAGCACAAATGAATTGAAACATACAATGACCATGCTAGTGGGCGCATATGTTTCAAAATTTTCGAATTTCTATCTCCACACTCCGAAATAATTTATCACATCCCCATATCTTCGAAAACAAAAACACATCGCAAATGCAAACTTTTCCACTTAAAAAAAAAACTAAAATGGAATCACATCACCCGTGTTCGCATTGTGTGTATGTGTTTGTGCGAGAGATAAAAGAAAATTGATTCAGACAAAAATTTGTGGAACTGATGCAATTACAACACATGGCAACATTGAATGTATGAAAAAAAAAAAAACAACAAATGCATAAACCAGACAAAAGATGTTGCTGCAGCTAACGGCAACATCGAAAAACATGCCATATAACAAAATACACGGGATCGTACTAACGTCGAGCCACAAATCGATTTTGTGTTTTGTATTTTACACACATAAACACCGAATTTATTGTATAGAATTTTATTTTCATTTTATTTAATTTTATTCTTTTTCATTTCAAAATAAAGAGAAAAAAAGGAACCATACAGACCAATCTAACAAATTGTATGTTTCTATGGATCACATTTGTTGAAACAAGGGTGCAAGTCAAAAAAACCACAGATAAACACACAAACTTTAAACAAAAGCAAAAACAAATTGCATATTTAAAAGGAGAACAAAAAAATCCCATAAATTTACACTATAATTTTAATCAAATCAAAACAAGAAAAAAATGTAATGCATTAAAAAAGAGCAATTTGTTTGAAAGAGAGAAAGAGGTACATGGTAGTTCAATTTAAAAAAATGAAAAAAAATAATAAAAAAATAATTGAGGCTAAAAGCCAGCGAAAGTTGAGTGTGCATGTGCGCGTGAGGGCGAAAATATAAAAAAGTATAGAAGAAAATATTAAAAAAAAAATGAAACACAAAAAAACATAAACATATATGACATGATACAATGAAAAGTAAATAAAATTAAAGAGAAAAAAAATAAAAAAATAAAAATAAATAGTATTACAAAGGCGTGCTGGACCTATGTATATAATATGGCGGCACTTAAGTGCAATATATGGCCATTTGCTTGCGGTTGATATTTATGCGCGGCTGTCATAGCCGCCCCCACGTGCGCAATCCTCGCCACTGTTGCCACCGTCGAAACGCTTGGCACTTTATCGGGAATAAACAATGCATATGTCCTGGCGCCCAATGAAATACATAATGTTGGTGTTGTAACACGAAAATAAACAAAAAAAAAAAAATATTGTGTTATTAATGTAAGTGTTATTATTTATTAAAGTTTACTTTTAATTTGCATTTGAGATGTACATGAATAACTCTTTTTTTTTGTTTTTGTTTTTCAAAGTCTTACATATTTTTTTTTTTTAATTTATTTAAATTATGTACAAACAAAATGTAAAAATGAGAAGAAGCAGAAACAAGCGGGAAAATTAAAACAATATATCATTATTTTGCAATTTCAAGCGAATTAGTGTTTTTCGGGGATAATTTCTTTTTCAGTGGAGATAAAAAAGAAACAAAAGTTAGAGAAGAAAAGAAACAGAGTGTAGTTGAAATGTTAATATATTTATTCGTTTGCCATGAACACATAGACATCATATCAAATCGGCTCATGAACATATGTTTCAATACTATATTAAAAACACAGATTAAACAAAATGACGATTATGAAGAAGAACGGCTAAGTAGACAAATTAACATTCAAAAAAGAAAAACCCTAGAGAATGTTCAGTTAATTTGCCCAAGTTCCCGTTGACACACGACTTTTAATAAAAATAAAAAAAATTAATTTTTTTTCTCTGAAAATAAATAAATAAACAAAACAAATGTGTATGAATGTAGCAAAATATTTTAATTTTAAACGCAAGAAGCTGAGTGAAAAAAAGAAACAAACCATACATTAACATCATTTTATTATAATTTTATTTTTTGTTGTTGTGAAGAATTAATTCTGTTGTTCGTTTCCTTTTGTCCTGATTAAACATTAAGCAAAAATGATAAGGAACACAGCTGAACATATTCATATTAAATTAAATTGTACATTAATCGCATACTATAAAAACAAACAAACAAAAAAATATACTTTGGTTATAGTTTTTATTCCGACATTCATATTGTGCTCGTTTTAAAAAATCTCCTTCACCTCACACATTTGCCCGGTATTCTTCTACAAAGCGTGATACATTCCCGCCTGGTTGTTCTATTTATTTTTTGTTCTCGATGGTCATCAACACAATCATTAATCCCAAAATACACATTTTAACCCATGCCTGTTTGACTATCTCCTATTTTAGTTTCATTCGTAACTTTATTTTCTTGAAGCACTTCAAATTAGATTGTTTTCATTTTCGATTTGAACTCATTCTACAATTTGCTCGAACTTTCCTGAATATTTCCGATGTCCGTGATTTGTTGATAAAAAAAAGAATTATACACAATAATTTTCATATTTGATCGCCTTTTTTTATTTTTAACCCAAAAGAAAACAAAAAACCCAACTATCTGAAACTCGTGCGTTCACTGGTGTACTTTGCCAAAAAGATTTCGGCTGAGTTTCAGTGAGCTGGAAAAGTGTGCATTTTGTTTTCTTTTTTTGCATTTTGACAATTTTCATTCCTAAATATGTGCTATGCTTAACTAAATCAATCAAAGACAGAAAGATATTGAATCGATTGAAGAATTTGTTTCGATTTTGGTTTGGTACCGGTATTGCTCTTGGTGTGTATTGATCGCATCAAATCTGATGATTTACTTAATCAATGGCTTATTCTTGTGCACAAAACTTACTCTTTTCATAGCCATTTTATTGAATGCTAAAGAAGACAAACAAAAAAAAACTCTTTTATACGATTTCAATCATATACATAAACTCATATACCAAACGTAAGAGAAAAAAAACTGCACGCGACCCATGAATTTAGCTAGGAGTAGAGACAATTCGAGAAATTAATCACAAATAAATCGTTTGAAAGGAAAAAAAATGAAAAAAATTTGTCGCAAAGGTGTGTCTGGTGTGTCGTCGCATTGAAAATAAAATCCAATCTTCGAAATAGAAAATCTGTGACTCAACAAGCACAAAAATGCTCTTTTAAGAAAAACCAAAATAAACAAAATACAATTCTTCATCCGAACATATTCATTCCAAATAAATGTAATTCCAGCTGAACGGATATTTCAAATCTTCCGAATACTGTTTTTTTTTCTCGTTTCATTGTTATTTTTGCGAATGAGCTAATAAACGTTCAAGGTTTCACACATACCGATTTTTTTTCGAATAAAAATTTCTGTGCTGAAATCGATGAAGAGCTATTTTTTTTTTTGCAACAAACCAAAGAAAAAAAAGAACCTTTTATTCTGTGCGCGACACAGAAATTGCACAAAAGAAGTGAACATAAATATGAATGTAATCATAGCAACACACACATACTCAATCGCACACAAATAAATGAAAAAAAAAAAATAACACACACAATATTGACAATTGTATAATTAGGGTATTTCTGATGTACAATTTTCGAAATCTATTTTTTGCACTGCTTTATTTTTCTATGTAGTAAGTGCTGGTCATTTACAAAAAAAATACACACAAAAACAAAGACAAAAAGAGAGAAAAAAAATTCAACAACATTATATATTTCAATTCGAACTATACTTTTCGTTCACTGCCTATACATATTTACTTACATGTAAAATCTTTCGTCTAAAAAAGCACATTCAAAACCAATAAAATTGAACCAAAAAAGAAGACAAGAACAAAACACATTATATAAATGAATTTTGATGAAAAGTTATATAATTCATGATTTTATTGTAAACATTGCAAGTGTTCAAACTTTGTAAGAGATGAAACTGAATGATATAAGAATTGAAACAGGGAACTGAGCGCACTGAAATCAGAACGGAAAAAAATCAGAGGCTGTTATAAAGTATGAACATGTGTGATGTTAAGTTTTCTTACTGTGGTTTGCTAAATGTTATATTCTATGCGATTAAGTGGTCTGCGGTTAAAATATTTAACAATTTATACCACATGAAATCTTCTACAAAAAAAAAGAGAGACAAACCCGCAGATATCAATATGTATGAACTATATACACCAATAACAATAGCACTCATCTGCAAATTTTCTTTCAAAATATACCTTGCATCATCGCTTCCTCTGAAGTTAGGAAGTATTACTTTTTTTTAATTTCTAAGTTCATATCTATACACAAAAGGAAGCATTACTCTGGACATTTATATAAATACATATACAAGTATCATGCATCAATGAAGAAAAATATAATAGATTATACTACAAGAAGAAGAATAAAAAAAATCGATTTTCAGTACAATATCAAGAAGAAAAATGAACAAATCTATGAAGAATGAAATAGAAATTCCATGTATTACTGTAAAAAGTTGGGAAAATGTAGAGAAATTTAGCTCACCTCCCCATTTATGTAAACAAGCTCAGATAAGCTCACCATAAATCGGCGGATTACGGTTTGCCCATCTAAAAAAAAACCCACCATTTTCCACATTGAGTCATTTTCATGTGGTAAAATGAAACATTTTTCTTTCAAATAATTCAATTTTTTAATTGAATTAAGTAAAAAAGAATAAAATCCATGCGAAAGAGCATGAATGTGTTTAACCAAAATTCAGACCGTTATTTTTTAAACAATCCACGAAATTTTCACTTTCCATAAACGAGATAAATATACATATAAAAAACTATATAGAATAAAACAACGCTGAAAATATGAAAATAGCCATGGAAAGTGTGTGTTATTCAAATATCCAAGTCACAATGGAACGTACTCTATAGAAAATGGTCGAACATTCAAAGTAAATAGCACAACAGCAAAATATTCCGGTTTCTATAAACAAAAATTTAATCGAATTAAGATGGCAGGCATAAAGATGGTTGTTAAAAGATTAAATGTTCTTTTTTTCTTCTTTCTCGGAAAAAGGGCAAACGAATGATTGAACAGAGTGCGTTCCAATTCCAAATAAATTTGATTTAATGTTCTTGTGGCCATCGTACGTTGATTTTTTTCTTCATTTGATTTTTTAAAGTGTTTTTTTCTTTAGTTTACCCATTTTTTTCTTTCTTTATTAATTGTAGAGCTATATTGTATGTAAGATGAAACAAGAAAAAAATACAAAACAAACATGTTCTTAGACATATAAGCAACAAACTTATTCATTTCCATGGCGGTTATGAAGCAAAACAAAAAGAAGAATCGGTGTACACAAATTTTAAACCGAAAATCTGAAACATTTAATTGGTGAGAATTTGTTGTTGGGCCACATGAATTGAATTCGTGCTACAGTGTTTGGATTATCGTTTGGGTACGATCACATTTTTTTTTCTCAAATAAATGAAAACGAAAAAAGAACCATACAAAATCAAAACCAATCAAACCAATGCTCATTCATTTAACCAAAATTGAAAGTGTATGGGCGCGATAAAGTTCTCTACCGTCACACCATGCATTTTAACAGTTTAGAACTTTAACGGATGCATACACATATATGTATATGATTAAAAGCAAAAAAAAAAGTAAAAATAAATAAAACTTGAAAATACCTGCATATGGCCCATAATACAAAAGAACAAAGTAGATGTTGTGAATTGGAAATTCCAAATTTTTTCCAATTTGGAATGTACATTTTTTTGTGTTTTGAATGATGTCAAAGTCCGTGAAATATTATTAGAAATCATTATAATGAATACTGCAAAGAGATGAAATACTTAAATAAAAAACAATTTCAAATCGGACTCTTATTTAATTCGAAGCATTTTTGTTACAGCACATTGAAATGCCTGTGGTATACTTTTTTTATTTGAAACTTTCAAAATAATGAGTTCTTTTTAAAATCAAGGTAAGGGTACACAAGGGTACCACAGGATACTTTGACAGGAAGGATAATTTGACATTTTTCACCAGCAGAATATTCATGCTTTTCGATCTCGAATCGATCTTCAGATAGAAAATTAGAATCAAATAAAGTAAAATATTCCTATTCATTTTAAATAATCATTTTATTTGCAATTTTTTGTTCTGCTCCTCCAAGGACACGGCTGAATTACAAAATATTTCATTTTCGTGGCATCTTCATAAGTTTAAAAAATAATAGTTTTCCATTCATTTCAATTTTACATGCGAACATTTACATTTGTAAATTTTGTTAATTGAGTCTCTTGTAGCACAACTTAATACGCAGTAACCAATGCCTGTACTCTTAGTATATTCCATACAATATCAACATTCAATCAGATTTCAAACAGATTCAAAATATGCAAAAAAATTCGAGTTTGTTTTGGATTTGAGATTCATGTGAATTTGAAAAGACGCTGTCTTCCCCTTAGCTGAATTCTCAATTAAAATTTACTCTAGAGGAGATTTTGCTTCTGTTCTTTCCAATAGAACAACACAATAATTTTGGCTGAAAATATTTCTGAATTCTTTTTTTTTTTTCAATCTAAGACTTTCTTTATCAAATTTTTTTTTTCACTAAATTCAATCAGTTTTATTCTATACTCATTGAGTCATATGAGGAATGTTTTCTGGATTTTCGAAACATGAAGTTTGGATAAAATAGTAATATTTTCACAGACAAATATTTGCTTTAGTCGATTAAAAACGAGGATAAATTGGAAAATACAATAAATTGTTATAAATTTATTTATTTTTTGGTTTATATAAATATTTTCAGCCTTACTTATACTGTAAGATTGGCAAACTGCGAGTTATGAACAATCTAATACTTGATCAACAACAAAGTATGCCGAACAAAAATTCAGCGATTATATAAATACCTATTTAAGACTTGCTTATTTGGTGTACAAAATGTTCGGATGTGTTTATAATATTAATTTGTTCCGCAGTCTGTCAACCTGTTTCTTTTCCTAATTTTTTTTTTTTCATTCAATCTAATCAATGATCAAAAATAAATCATAATTTTTTCTCTATTTATGTGTGTGTTTCTTTTAAATTTATTACCAATAAACATTGCACCATAACTAAATATTTCTTTTGATTTTCCTCAAATAATATAATATAATATATAATAAATGGGTGTTTTTGTGTGTGTTTGTGTGTGTGTGTGTAAAAAACTACATTAAATAGATAAATTTCGTGCTATAAAAATTATTTCGAAATTTTATGTTTATATACAACTTAAATATTTGGCTCAAAAATACTAACGTATACCTCATGTATGAGATACAAGAGACATACAATCATGGATTAAGTGTTTTTCATAATTATTTTGTTTGTTTGTTTCTCGAATTATGTCTCTTTTCGGTGTTGCGGCTTAAATATCAATTGATTTTGCATTTTTCGGTATGTTAATTCTTAAACGTCCCATTGTTTTCAATGTATTCGAGCTGCTAAATGGGTGTTTGATGTTATTATTTGCGTCGGCAGTAGATGCAACAGCAGAGGCACCGGCTGCATTGCATATAGATTCGGTAGCACTTCGGAAATTATGTGCTAGAGTTGGTTTTGCGCTATTATTTTCATCGAAACCAGATTCATCGCTAAATTCGGAATCTTCTTCATTATTATTTCGAATTGTTGAATTGTGATCGGTCGAATTATTGTGATCAGATTCGTTGACACATTCCAAATTCGATGAAATATTGGAATTTTTGAGTGATGGCAATCGTGCCAGCGATAGACTAATGGCTTCAATTTCACGTTCTGATTTAATAAGATCGTCCATGTGTGCGGTTGTGATAATGCTAGACGTTTCACAGCCAGATGTTATTGAACCTTCATCACTGTCTAATAACGGACCATGCACATTACCATTTGAATTTACAAATGCCATCGTTTCAATTGGTTTCATACAATTATCATTCACATTTGAATTATCTACATTCGATTTAATGAGATGCTTTGAGTCTGATGTTACCATAACTAAACTCTTTAGTACATCATTTTGATTGAAATTGGTGGTGTCATGTCCCAAACTACAAAAATCATCCGTTGAATTGAATGAATCAAATTCAAATGGTTCGTTGGCCACGCAACTATTCGCCGGACCCAATGCATTTGGATGTGAATCAATTTCGCTTTGACTTAATGATGTTGATTTACTTAATTTGGTATCAAAATATGATAAAATTTCACCCGACAACGATGATTTGATATCATAATCGTTTGTCATTAAAAGACTATGAAAATCATCATCTTCATCGTATGCGGCCGGTGATGTTTGCTTCGGTATGGTGAATTTTGAATCAAATGTATTGCAACCGCCACCGCTGCCGCCGCCTTCGTCGTCGTTTGTTTTAATCACATCAGTGCTACGTGACTTAGATTGTTCATACAATGAATTACGTCGTGCATTTGCCATATCACGATTTAATCTATTACGCTTGCAGTACTTTCGATCGAATGTGGACACCGTAAATAAATCACCATTCGTATAGGGTGTATTATTATGGCTTTGGCTCTTTTTAAACGATGACATCGAACAAATTTCCTCTTCTTCGCCAACCGCCTCTTCGATGGCCATCAATTTTGGAGCGGATTTTGATCGTTCCATTGGCGGTCGATAGTTATTTGCACCAACACTTAACAATATCTTACGTCGTGGCATACTTGGATTCTCGTACAATGAATTGACCAACGATAGGCGAGCATTTTGACGATTCATTTTGTCACGCTTAAACTCCTTTAACGCTTGCGTTAAATTCTCCTGTTAATGAACAAAAACGAAATGAATTTTTAACATTGCAATATTATTTTTTTTTTCTTCTTCTTCTTCTTTTTTCGCATTTAAAATTGTGAAAAACAAAAACAAAACATTTTAATTGCCAGTCGTTCGTTCGTGTGTGATTTTTTTGTTTTCGGCAATAAAATAAACGATGAAGAAAAAAAATCCTAGAAAAAAAGTGCAATTTACCTTGAGCGTTTTGCATATCTCTTCGGCGATTGACTCTTTTGGGCATAGAACTGCATGGCATCGAAGTTCGTGCTTCAATTTTCGACCTTCGTGTCGATAAATCCAACAAAATACGCGCGGATAATTTTTTGGCGCACAGCAAAATGTGATTTTTGAATTCCAGTACTCGGTAATGCCATGTTGTCTTGTTGTCGCTTTCAATCCAGACGAACATACCAGAATTCGCATCGCAACATCGGGCTTATTTATTTGCGTATAATTTCGCCATAGTGTTGCCAATGGTTTTTCTATGCAATTGTCACCTATTTTTATTTGTAATTTTGTTGATTTGTTATTAAACAAGCAAAACAACAACAACAACAAACACAAATCGGAAAAATGAAGAAAAAAGAGAGAAAGAAACAATCACAAATCACCATTAAAAACAATGACTTCAACATATTAATGCTAACGAATATACTGTGTAATTCGATAAATGTATATTGTCAATTGTGCTCATATCAAAATTGATTAAATACAAAATTCTATTTAGTAATATTGAATTAAACTCTTTGAATTTGTTATTGTTACTTTTTTGGGCATTGTCAAAAAGAGTTAATTTTTTGTGTTTTTTCTCAAGCCGATAAAAAAAATACAATTAACAACAATCGATGTTGATAAACAATATAAAAAAGCCTGAGTCATACGCTTAACGTGTAGAGAGAGAGAGA